AACTTTCAGGAATCCCTTTATAATTTTTTTGCAACCGTAATATTATTTGCGGCTTCAATAAGTCTGATAACAGAAATACATACGGGTGATATAGTGTATAATTATAAGGCATTATTAACAGCTTCTGTGAGTATAATATTATATTTGTACAAAAATTGATTTTAATGCTATAAATTGAAATTGTGTTACGTATATGTGTATATATACACACACACACACGCGCGCGCGCACACACTCTCACAAATAAAGCATTAATGCATATACATTATTATATAAAAAATTGTAATTTTTATCTTTTATTTAGATTTGTGGTTTACTAAACACCATTTTATATATTTTTAACGCGATTATCGCATATATCACAATATGGACGGAGTAAGTTCTGATGTCAACTGTAATATGATTTATACTGATGTCAACTGTAATATGGTTTATACTGATGTCTGGTGTAGAAGACCCACTCTTAATTTATATTGACTAAAAAGCATTAATTATATATTTTTTATTATATATATTTTAATTATATATATTTTTAAAATTCAAAATGTTATAATTATAACAGAAGAATAAGTACTAATTTTATGTTTATAACTAATTTATAAATTACTTATATATAATTGAAAGGGACTGATAAATCTACCGTCAATTTTGGAAAGTTGAATTAAATAATCGCGATTACGATGAAGAAAATGTATAGTATTATTATGCAGGTTGTTGTACTTTACAACTTAAACTTATCTATCTTAAAAACTTTTTTTTTTATTTATTTAAACTGATATGCAAAAATATAGTTATTATTATACTATCAATTTTGTTGATTAAATTTGATACTTGATGTTTGTTCATTTTAATTAGTATTATTCTATAGTTGTATTGCTACAAGTTGCATTACTTTACAACTCTTTAAAACTTTTAAAGTAAATCTTTGAGAAATGTCATTCTTAAAAAGTTAAAAGTTAAGCTACTTTTTTTGAAGACTCGCTCAATTTTTATTCTTTAGTAAGGTTTTACTCCAAGAAATTGAGAGAAAGAAGCATATCTTAGAACATATATCTTAGAAACCTTATTTATTTAAATCAATGTACAAAAACATACAATAAATCTTGACAGTTAAACTACATTTGATAAGTATCCACTTGGCATTTATTAATTTTTTGAAAACATATTAATTAATATGTCATATTTTTTAAATAAACATGTAATTATGTGAAATTAAAAAAAATGTGAACATTAATTTTTCTTTATAATATAAATTACATTTTATAAAAATTGAAATACATTATACTTTTATGTTATTATCTTTCATTCAAGTTTTTTTGCGTTTCTGTCAGCTACGCAGAGCGGGCAAAGCATTTAGAATTCTGGCATAAGTAACACATGCCAGAAATAGACAGTAATTTCCCTGTGTTGAATGCTATGTGGGGGGTGCAACGACATTCAGATTTTGTGAATACACAGACCTACACCCTCAGTTAGTTTAAAAGTATCGCTTGTCGTGGTCATGCTGTGTGTTCTTCTAAAAATCACTATCAGACAAAAAGTTAAACATTTAAAACAATTAAGTTGTAAATTAAGTTGTAAAAAAATTTAAATCTTTCGGTATGTACAATGTTATCTTTACATTCTTTTATTTATATTAAAGATATTTTAATTGTTACACTAAAAAAATTATTTGGAAAAAATGTTTTTGTGTGTAAGTAGACCGGGATTTATTATGTCCGGGATCATTAAATTTAATTATCCATTTAATTATATCCTGGACGAAAAGAAAAAGAAAGAAAAAGAAGGATAATTAAATGAAGAGATAATAAAAAGCGTCAGATCACAAATTAATGAGACAATTTAATGAACGTCAATTCAATACAACAGCATGAAATTAATCATCTAATAGAATTATAGGGACCTAGACACGAATAATATGGGACCTATAATTAGGATGTCATCTTCTGGTACGCACGGCACGGGCGGTGTCGGTTGCTGCTGCTTTAGATGTTGCACATGTATACACGTCGAGTTCTTTAAATCATTACCAGGAATGATAAAAGTTTGTGAAACGGTACGTTACAATTACACGTATTATTTGGTATACGCAAAGTTCATTAAAATTATAAATGACATAACATAGAATACAACATTCTTATATTCTTTTCATCACTAACTTATTTTCTTTTTTTTCGCTTTATTTCTTTCATTTATCTATTATTTATCTTGTTTTAAGATAAAAAATTTTTGAAGCAACGCGAATAGACTTAATATATCAACTTCACGCTTTCTAGGAAAAATTATAAGTTTTTTTATTACTACATTGGTCTTTCTCTCTCACTTTTACATATTAAACATTTATCTATTTCATTTTAAATGTAAAGAGTATATATTAGAGACCAATTATAAAAGCAGACTTGATTTAGATATAATGTCATTAGATATTCTAATAGTTTTTTATTTACTCTTTGTGTTAAATTTTTTAAAATAAAATACCACATGATTCTATTGATCTTCATTGAATGTTCCTCATATATAATTTTTAAATATATAATTATAATTTTATAATGCTTATATAATTAATATAATTCCAGGTAATCAGCGGATTAATTCAGAGTTTGCTTATAAATTATGGCTTGGGCTACAGTTCATCTATTGGATCGGCTTTCGAAGGATCGTTGACCACGGCATCCGCTTGCTTCCTGATTTCCGCTCTGTTACTTGCTTGCTATGCAATTTCTGAAAAATCTTATAAATTAATCCGAGCTTCACTTTTTGTATGTATTTATCTCAAATAATAATGAAATATTAAATATAAAAATATTAAATATAAAAAAGAGATATATCACAAATAATCCCATTATTCTAAATTGTTTGAAATAATTACTCGTTAATATGTCAATATTTATATTTACTTTTTATTATATAATTTAAACAATACTTTTGTTGTTATTAATTTAGAAATTATGTGTTACATTTTTTTTCTTTTATCAATATCAGGAAACGATGTTCAATTGTTCAGCCTGCTTCCTGTATTTAAGCTCCGCATTTTACTTGGCTTTTGCCACTAAATTATTTCTGATGATCCCGTATTATATGAGTCCCGGCTTCGACGTTTATCCTGCCATGACAGCCGCTTATGTAAGTTTATTAGTACAATTGCAAATGGAAAACTTAACGCTTTCACTAATTTGCGTCATTGTTTGTACCT